TTAAAGTATGTTATAGACTAGACTTTCAAGCACTGGCATCTAATTCACTGATTAGAGAAGAGGAGGCTCAGGGGGGACCTTATTGCTCTCTACAATTACCTGAAAAGGAAGTTGTAGGGAGATGGGAGTCGGTCTCTTCTCCCACGTTATGAATGACAGGACGAGAGGGAATGGCCTCAAGTTACGCCAGGGGAAATTTAGGTTTAGATATCAGGAAAAATTTCTTTACAGAGAGGGTTGTAAAGTATTGGAACAGGCTGCCCAGGGAGGTGGCGGAGTTCCCATCCCTGGAGGTGTTTAAAAACCGTGTGGCTTTGGTGTTGAGGAACATGGTTTAGGGACCCTGATAGTGCAGGGTGAATGGTTGGACTCGATGATCTTGAGGGTCTCTTCCAACCAGATGATTCTATGATTATGTTGTTATGGTGTTGAAATGTTGTTTCGTTGACAGTGCATCTTTATGGAGTTAATTTGTAATGAGAAATTAATACCAGAGGAGAATGTTGTCTGTTCATTCCAAAAGGATGGATCTTGTACTTGCATCATAGCATGTAATAAACAAACAAAAAGTTTTCAACTTTTCACATTCTAACGTAATTCTAACCTAACCCATTTAAAACTATTTTTTGTTTCTAATTTTGGATGGAACCAAAGTGTTCTGTCTAGTTACCTGACTTGAGTCAGGGTTCCTTCTGCTGGATAAATGCCCATGTTCTATGGCAATATATAGGAAGAAGTATATTCCGAGTGTTTTCAGTCTGCGACATAAAAGGTCGCTGCGTTGGAACAGTTAAGTTCAGCCCATCTGTCAGTCATTCAGTGCGCTGGTTACAGGGCGTTTTCTGTGGTTCGTGATGGGTTCACTGGCCTAATCCAAGTTGTCGTATAACGCAGGAACTGTGTTTATGGGCCTGTTAACCAAAGGACAGGCTGAAGGACCTCTTTTTCCCAGTGGCAGAAAAGCAGTTTTACTGAACAGATAGGAACCTATTCACTATAACCCCACAATCCTGGTAACTAAAAGAACAAAGTGGTTTCTGGCCAGTTGTCACAATTCCGTGCAACGTCAATCACAGTTCCCAGGCGTTACCACAGCTCCTGCCGGGCCAGCTGTGGGTGTGAGCCTGCCGACGTGCAGCTTCACCTGACAGCGCTGAAGGCCTTAGTGAGGCCGGAATTGTGCGATGAATCCGTTAGGCACCGAGAGGGAGAGCGCGCCGTGTTTTGTACCGCGTTTGGAGAGCCCGAGAATCCAGCACAAACAATTGTTTCTTCCTCTAAATAACTTACACTTTTGTAACGCCCCTTTTCAAAGAGCAGGTGGTTGCATGGAATTGGGTCTGCAGTGGTGAGCTGTAGAAGTGCTCAGTTCTTAACCACGCTCGGTGCTGGCATCAGGAATTTCGCACCTTCCTCGGGTGGCGTTTTCAGGCAGTTGACTTCAATATTGTGTGTGTACGTTTGGGAGGAGTATATGTTAGGAATTTAAGATGCATGTAATTTTAAAAGATTTTTTTTTTAATAAAATGTACTGATTAACTCTCAGTAATGATTCCTTATGGCGTTTCGTTATCTAATAATGCAGATAAATTCTCCTTAATTGCACCTCCTAGATTTACCTCAGTTCTCAATATTCTGAAACTGGAAGAGTCACTAACTGCTGAAACACACAAAAAGCCTCTAATTGAGTTAGTTTCTTGTGGCTCATTTGGGTTTTTTTCCTCGTGCTCAGAGAAAATGATTTTGTTTTTATTTTTAACTGCTTCTTAAGCATAGAAGTGATGGTGATCATCCTTCAAATCCTTCAAGCTCTTTAGGTTATTTCTTCTAGTTAGCTTTTGAGACATTGGATTTTTGCTTCATTATTTTAAGAAGCGCTATTGCCTGCTAGGTAATCTTAACTCTTAAATTATCAACTTTGTTAGTAATTTCTGTTTGGGTTCTTTTTTTTTTTACACTTCATGTTTACATGTTGTGTGTTTTAATAAAAAAACCCAGTATTTTTTCCAAAGAATATTTATATCCTTTTATGTTTTTCTAATGCTAAAACTGGTGGTCTGCAATAAACATTATTTCATGTACTTTTTGTACATAGAAACATACTGAAAACAAGTGTGTTAGGCTCTGGATGTTTTTCATCTTGCATTAAGATTTACCTTTCATCTGAAAGAGACTTAAAGGAAAACAAGTTTTTAGCTGTTCATAAAGTTGAAAGAGAAAATTAGTTTCTGTCCTTAACCGTAAGAAGGAATTGGAGAGAAGTGCCTGTCTAATCATTAATTCTATTTGTGCAATGCTTGACACTCTTGCAAATGTGTTTGCGTTTGTTAGTCTGAAACAATTCCAGTATTTTGCTGTCCAGGAATGCTGAATGGATGACATGTATGTATGTATTTAAATACCTTTTAATAGGATTTTTTGGTATGTTAAAAAAGTGGTCCTCGGGCACAAAAGGACTTTGTTGCTCAGTTTTCTTGCAAATGCTGTGGAAACTGAGTATGATAATCTCCCGGGGATTTGATTAAATGTTAGCTCCTTTAAAGTTTAACATAATGATACGCAAATGAAAAAGCAAGTCTAGCATTTCTGAACGTGGTGTTAGTGTCATTGTCAAGGTGCTGCCCTTTGAACCACACAGTAACACCTACCCTACAATGAGAGCTGTGAACATGGGAAGCAGTTGTGGCAGAAGTCTTAATTCTAAGACATTCCCAGTTTATTTAAGTGGAAGAACAGTTAAGCCAATATTGAGAGTTTTGAAAAATCTCACTTCTATTTCTGAGGAATTACCAATATGATAGCTTTTTCCCTGTGAAAGTGTTTATTTTTACAAAATCTTGAGACACGTTCAAAAGGACAATTGAAAACAGATGACAGGAATATGTAAATCATTTACATATGGAGTTCCAGGGTTGTCTTTGCATAGTCCGAGATGCTTGAAAAATATATCTGAAAAATATGACACAAAAGACTTCATTTTCAAAACCTGCCTTCAAAACAATGTGAGTATAACCATGTTTCTTTGTTCTTTCAGGACCATCGTGAGCATGCATGCAGATTGGAGCTTGTACAGAAAGTAAGGGAGTGTGTGTGTCTCTGGTGTGTATGACTTGTCTGAATTGGTATTTCAGACCTTCCATTTCAAATCCGTTCTTTCAAATTCAAGGCAGACAGGAGACAGGACTGGTTTAGCAGCAGACTGCTCCCCACCCTCCTGTCCCCCCAAAAACCCAGCAAAACACCCCCCAACCGCTTCACATATTAAGTTATTTAAGACTGTGCTTAAAAATAGTTTCTGAACTTTTGCTTTTTACTGTGAGTCAATGAGTCCAAAAATAATCAATTTGGAAAAATCCAAGAGAACGAAAGAATGTGAAGATGGTACCTCAGTAAGTCTGTGGGAGGAGACTATTAGTTGCTCGTTTTGTTAGTCACAGGCTTAATGTGGCATGTTGAACTTTTATCTTGATGAGCTGGCAAGGTTGTTGCACTCGTTATATTGCCAACAAAGGGAAGCAATTCAAGCACGTATTGAAATTCCACTAGTTGCAGGACTTGTATGGGTTTGACATAGCTGCCTTGGTGTCTTGCCTCTCAGGGTGATGGCTGAGTGCATTAAGATTCTGCAAGTGCCATGAGAGTCTCTAGTCTTTGACTTTCCCCCGTATGGCAGAAGCTGGCTTTAAAACAGCGCGTATACACAACACCAAAACCACCAAAAACCACCGTGTGACAGGAGGTGCTCTCCCCACCCTCTCCTCAGTAACCCTGTGCTGCTGAGTCATGGCTTTACCCTGAAGGAAAACGCCTCAGGAAAGCAGGAAAGATTCTAGACACGAATGGTATGTATTCTTTCTGGCATATAACTTGGTTTTCTACTCTTTTTGTTAACTTTGGTCAAAGCCAATGAGATTCTTCATTATTTCTAATATGACACAACTAGGATAGTTACAGGTTTTTTGTATTGTTGAAGTTTTCTGGTACCGTTTAGGTTTTGTTATGGAAATGAAGCAAAAGCAAAAAGCTGATCCAACAAGTTATATGTAAATACAAAATAAAGTCACTTGATACTGAGACACGCTATTTTAACATTATATGATACACAATATTGTGAAAAAACAACAACTATGATAGCCAAGACAAATAGGTGTCGTCATAATCTAAAGGCTGGCACTGCTGCAGAGGAAAAAAAAAAGTGGCTTCTGAAGCTACTGGATCTGAAGTAGGATGAAGGAAACCATCTGGAGGAGGGCTGCATCCTCTGCTGGCATCTTGTCCACTTGGCACAACTATGGTAGGAACTTGCTGACGCCCGGGCTCATGTAAATCTACTTTGTGGACAGCTGTGTTCAGGCACCACCAGTTGTCATGAGGATGTGTTTGCCTTGTCTGTCTTGTCTGCTTCACAGTCAAATTCTTCTCTGTCTTTGAGATGACAAGATTTTTGGCAGACAATCTGGTACAAGGACATGTCAGGATGTCAAGATGCTTCATCACCAGCAATGGGGACAACGCACATTTTTTTCAACTTTGGTCACACTCCATCTATACTTTATTTGGTTATTTGGGGAGAATTTGTTGAAATTTGTCCTTTTAATTAAAACATATATAATACAGACACATTATCTACCATATTGGAGGCCTGCTGTCTTGCTTGCTCCTCATTTGTTTTGTGGTAAGGTATGTGTCTGTGATGGAAGGCCAAGCTTACCAGTTGTTCGTATGGTTAACTGAATACTTGTCATCTTATGTTAATTTAGACCTGTGCCATGCTTTGCCTTAACAAAGAATAGCCTTTTCTTCAAAAAACAGTTACATTTTAGGCTAGATTTACACTATTGACAGTACAGCTGGAGAATATGCTGTTGTCATTTTGATGACGCTAAAATATACAGTGATTTTGAAGAGGGTAAATGTTCTATTACATCTTGTGTTGTTCAAAAGTCAAATTCAGGCACTGAGTTTTCTTTCTTGGATGAGGTACGTAATGCATCTTCTTATCACTGAGATTCTTGTTGAATTTCGGTTTTAGTAGGGGATGAAGTTTTCACATCACAATAGCTAAAATCTTGTCCATAAACTAGGTCCTTCTGAGAGATTTCATCTAAGTGTGGCTCATGAACTGTGACAGTACTCCACATGTTGTTCTTCCCCAGGGATTTATGTAAGAGTTCTCTCATTCTCTTGTTTTCTTTGCATGTGGATTCCCAAATGATTTCAAGTTCCCCTTCCACTTTCCTAGGAAAAAATGAAGAGAAATCCTAATTTAAAAAAATTTTTCAGCAGTATGTAATTAAAGTATGTGGATAAGCAAATTATAAACTGCACGTATTTAGATGCTTGAAATTACCTGATTGAAATTTGTCCCTATTTTGTTTTTACAAACACCCACTAAGTGTAATGCTAGAGAGGATATGATCAGAAAAAAAGATATGGACCCACGTAATAAGTTGGTTTAAGTCCACACAAAAGAGCGGTGCATGCGAGATCCAGATATTGAGACTGCCACTGTCCACGGAATCGGAATCCGTTGTGTCTGCAGTTCTCCTTCCTGTAACAGGTATGGCTCTGTAGCGCACCCCCCTTCTGCCAGGTGCCAGGAGTTCCGCATCTCTCCGCTCAGCAGCTAAGCGTGTCTGATCAGAGAGTCCGACTGTGCTTAGCTGATGCTGCCTTGTGGAGGTCAAACAAGTGGTGAAAACTCTTTTTGGGGAGTCAGGGGGCAGGGCAGTAAAGATAGTGAAGGACAGTCCTTAAGGCATTGTAACCTTATGGGCCGATTTCTCTGACTGCCCAAGCATAAACAAATGAATTATTTAATGTTTTTCTCAAGAAAAAGGTTATTTTTCAAACATGGCAGGTAACATGATTTAATAATGCAGTGTATTCTAGCCACAGACTTTTTAGTAAAGTTATATTTGGTCAAGGTTAAGCTTACTTCTAGTACATGTCAAAATACAAACTATTCAGAAAACCAAGATCATTTGAAGTGGAAAGGAAAAAAGCTATTGCATAGAAAATGAGCACACAAGTCTTAATGGTATAGACTTCTCTAACACAGTCACTTCAAGCCACTACCTGAAGCACTTGACAGAGCCAGCCCTTTACGCAAGTTCTTCTGAATACCAGGTTCTACAACTGAGAAACTAACGCGAAACATAACATGTTCAGAAAATGCTGTCAGGCTACATTTCTGGCAAAAAAGTGTATACTAGAAAATACTTAATCAGTACTTCTCACAGAGCCCTTTGTGATTGATAACACTGAGAGTGAAGTGGTAAAAAGTGGCCCAGACATAGCACTAGCTCATCTTGTTCTTCACCTTACGACTGGATACAAAGATGGAAGATGAAAAAAAACTTTTTTGTGAAAGCCTTAAGAATATCCTTGTATGCACTGCTTGGAATGAACTTTTGGTGGTGGTGGAGATCAGTAACCATTAAGAATGGAATTAAAGCAAAAGAAGGCCAGTGAAAGCAGCACAGTTGCTAAGAGTAGCCCAAAACTCTGCTCAAGAACAAGAGAAGTCACATTTAATGAGTTGGACCTTTCTGTTTCTGCCAAGTCTCTAAAAAGCTATTGAGAAGCAATCTCTCACTTCTGAAACACCAAAACTGTAGATGACTTGTTCTCACAAAGTATATTTCTCCTTGAGCCAGCAGTAAGAGTGTCTAATATAATCAGTTACTCAGTATAGGCTTCAAAATGCTTTACAAAGGTAATTATTATCCTCAGCTTACATTTTGGGGGATGTGTGGCACAAAATTGTATGACTGAACTCCCCCAACAAGCTGTCCTGAGTTTCACCCATAGGGACAAGATCCTCTGTTGTCACTTCTCTCCAACTCGAGCCTACATGCAGTGTGCACAGCACTCATATCCTGCTATTAATATACAAGAGCTTAATCTGGTTTACCCTTCTCGTGGTGTAGAACATTACCCAGGTTTTCACCTGCTGATTTCTAAAACCAAAGCTTTTTTAAAGATTGTTTCAGTGTTAATGCTTGTATGAGCTTGAGGCAGAGAAAATTTGAAGATGAAACTAAAAATTGCTGAATTCTGAATTGTAGTTTAATGATGTCAGCATGCCAGACAAATGGAATGCTCGTTTTCAGTCCATGTGTTCAGTTCAATGGCAACTGCATTGATTTTAGAAAAAACAGTTCAAAGAGATTAGTTTTAAAAGTATCCACAGAGTTAAAATTACTTCAGTAGCAAGGAGACAGATGCCTTTATAGGTAGTGGTGTATCTGAACTCTTCTTGGAGGATTAATTTTTAAACAGAGTTGAGATGCAGAATCTGAAAGTGCTCGCTGACTCAGCTTTGGAATGAGCAGTCAAAGGATGCTGTTGTCGGGGAAGCACGCTGCAGATGCTCCTGGCTTTGCACACAGGGTGCTGCAGTCACAGGTAAGTCTCTTCAGTGTGGCAGACTGCACTGCTTTCATAGTTCAGCTGTTTTTCAGGTGAGCATCCGAGAAGTAGCAGTTGCAACCCAACTGTAGTTAGACAGAGGGGTTTTGTCTCTGTGTTTTTTGTTTTAAAATTCGGACCCAATCAAAATCTAAAAATACATTCAGGAGAACGGGCTGGGAAGAGGTGTCTTTATTCTTGCTCTCCACAACCTCCCTGCTGTCTTAAGATCTTGGAGTACCTAGCAGCTTGGTTACTACAGCTGCTGACAGTCTGTACTTTTTTCTCAACACCAACATTTCCTTGCTCCTACTTCACTGGGCAATGGGCCTCACTACCCTTCTCTTACGTTTTTCTGGATCTCACCAGAAACTCCCTCAAGCTCGGCAAAGCATTACTGTCCTTCACTACGGCTACTGTGACAATAGCCCAACCCTTGCTATTCCATTGTGCCCATAACAGCTGGTTCACCTCTTCAAACACAAATCCTTGTCACTTGGCATTTAAAACTAGATAAGAACGCAGCAGTAAATGTGTCCCATTTCCTGATGTCTTTAGGCAAAAAACATTGTTTCTCCTGAATGTAGGCTGTTGTTACTTAGACAAGTAAAAACAAAGATTCCATTCAACCTCTGGCCTAGCCAAAATGTAAGGTTTTCTATCTTGGTTAAGACCAAGCAAAATGCCAATGCTGTACCACTGTTTGAGGATGATAATTTCACAGAAGCAGGTCCTGAAAACAGATTCTTCTTTACAAAAGACGGAGCTTTCTGCCCTTGCTGAACTAAATTCATTCAGTTTTATTCTCTGAGAATCTTACCTGGGCTGCTGACTCAAGAATTAATTTTCATCTATCCTGTAGCAATTTAAATAATCCTTATCACAAAGATCAACAATTTCTATCATGGTTACAATTTAATATGTAACCTTACAGGTAAGACAGCTCCTCTCCCTTGCGTGTGCATGGCAGCGAACCTTTTCTACTGTTGACCTTCTTCCGAGGACAGTCGCAGGTAGTTTTATTACCAAGGCTTTCAAACCTGCATTGAACATCCAAAGTACAGCAGCTGTAACTATCTCCAAGTACTGGTCCTCTGCAGAAGACTCATGAAATACATCGTGACCTAGAAAAATCGTAAGTGTCCTGTGAAATAAGACTTGAAGCATTGACAAACCTGGTGTTTCTACCCTGGAACCACATTAACAACTTTGTTTAGATCTGAAACATGCAATGTGTTTCGCTTAAGGAAAGGCATGTGATAATGATGGCTCAGAAGATTGCTCTGTAAACAATAAAAATGTCATTATGATTATCAGCTGCCTGTAAAACAAAATGATACTGCTTTCATCATCAGTTGCTTTAGGCGAAAGGTTGCAGGGAATTTCCAGTATTCTCTAGCAAAGGCTGTAATTATTGAGAAGGCTCTACAGAGCAGCTTCTAGGAAGGTAAAATTTGCATATCTTTAGAAGCTTTAAAAGCTTTTATTTCTCAAAACAACAGTTATATCTATATGCATTTATTTTTGAAAACCAAGTGGAAAAATTCTGTTCCCTTGGATGCAGAGGTAGGTAGTGCAACCCCTGATGTTTGTCATCAGGTGAAAGATGATGCAGGAGGGGAGAAAACTTCACAGGAAAATGACCTTTGTTATGTTTTATGAAGCCCACGTTAGTTCGGATGTAGACTTGATGCAGTGTCTCACTGAAAGAACTGTGCTGTTTCCAGACCTGAAGTGGTATCTTCCCTTGTTTTACAGAAAAACCTTACCACTACCAACAGATATAGTAAACTTTTATGATAAACAATTTCATGGCAGTAGCTAAATCAGACTTGGTATGATTTCCTAACTCCACTGTTAAACCAAATGCAAGAACAAAAGCAATTCTATGAAAAAGTTTTCAGTCTTCACCTACTTACAGTGCTTTTGACTGGACTGACTGTGGTCAGTACCTTTTAAAATAGTTTAATTTGTTTTACAGTCTTCCTAAAGAGAAATTGTAACTTTAATAAAATACGAAATCAGCTATACAAATAGTCAGTATATCTTCAGCTAAATTTTAAACTAAACTGGCTTTCCTGCTTAAAATGTGGCATGCTGCTTTGATTTTCATTACTTAAACACTGAAATTAGAGAATATACTATAGAATATATTTATTGTATGTGCTTACCTTAATGTTTATACATGTTTTTTGAACTGAAATGTTATTTGCTAGACAGTATTCTGGGCTATAAATTTACTCTGTAAACAGAACTAGAGGAAATAAATGTAAATGTTTGGTACTTCCTGGCACTAGTGACTTCAGTTGCCAAGCTACAGGTGACTAGCAACATCTAAACTACAGATAATTTTCCCTTCCTTACTCCTGTGACTGTGTGTAGAAAAGGGACAGATAAAATAATAAGCCTTATAAAAATAGAAATACATGAAGCTGAGCGAAATGTATGTTTGATTTCTGGCAGACAGGCATAATAGAGTACATATGTAATTGGATTACCTTGAGAAACTACTTTATATTACCACAATACTTGAGATGAATGAAAGAACATGAGGAAACTAATTTATATGAACGCTATCAGCCATGGTGTTAGTTGGTTTTATATGAATAAAAATACATTATTTCTTATATAGCTGTAGAATTTAGCTGACTTCTCAGTGACGTTTCATTTTTTTAATATAGCTTCTCATACACTTATCAAAGGAAAATAGCAGATGGTGAGATGAACCAAAATACAACCTGAAAGATGAGCATAAAAATTATATTTTACTTTCAGAGTTGTGTTCACTATATTATAGTCTAATACACTGTTAAGCCTTAACTACCGCCAGGAAAAGGCAGTCACCAATTACACTGTTCATTAATGTAGGAGACTACAGAAATGCAAGATATCTCTTTTTGAGGTTCATCATGTGCTTGTTTCCATAAACTGTTTTTTTTACCATTATATTGTTAAATGGACTACTACATTGTAGTTCCAGATGCAGATTTTGCTTCTTAATTTAGTTGCAAGTATTAATTTTCCTTACTGAAGAAAAATGAGTCAATTCAGACTGAAGAGGAAAAAGCTATTTAGTACAACTTCTGTATAGAAAGTGTAATTAATTTTTTGACATGGCTGTCTTACATCATCTCATTTACCTGCCTTGGGGATAGAAAAATAAATTTGGAATGATGCATATTATGGGACTTTGAAATATGCTCTATTCTACATTGAAAAAAACATCTTTATTTAACTAGCTGTTCTCTACTACAAAAAAATTATAACATAAGCCCAGAGGTATGAAAGGAATTTAATTAGTTAAAAATCCTAAATAACTATTTCCAGAGAAACGTGGAATAGTCAAAATATTGTTTTCTCATGCAAATTTTAGAGATTAGTGGGATGCTCATTGTACGTTTCCCAGCAACTCACGCCTCTTTAATAGCACTGTATAAAGCAATTGAGAGGAAATGTGCTGATATAAGGTAGATGATACCAAGCCCTGTCTTTAAATCTATTTTTTCACAATGGCAGAGATGACGTGCACAATGACTGCTGAATTACTTCTCTTCAGTTGTAAAAAGTTTTTCATGTATGCTGGTAACACGAATGTCCTACGCAGCTTTCCACTCCCAGAGGGGAAAAATAGCTTTAAAGAACTCTATATTAAAAGGGTATTTCAACACCGACAGTCATAATCTTGGATAAATCTGTGAAATTATATTTTTTTCTCTTTTTATTCTGCACGTAGCCGATCTAAGTCACTTAGTAAAAGAACAGTAAAGTGGATTGAAAAGGAAACTCATCATATGCATACTCATTAGATTCCTTCAATTTCCTGCTATTCTGAAAACTCTTTGAGGACTGTGGAGGGGAAAGTGTTCAGTGTTTAATAGGAAATCCTATTAAATAATTAACGTATATTTTGACAATTTATAGACACACACCCCAAATCATCAAAGACTAGGCTCAGACTGACATTCTTCTTAAGAAGTCTTAAGAACAGTAGTAGTCATCCAGAAAAAATTCCCCCTTCAAAAGGTCTGTCTTGGAGCTGGGAATCAAGAGGAGCCTTTGAGCATTTTCAGCATAGCTAAAACATGAGTGAGAAAAGACAACCAGAACATATGACACGAGGCTCTGATGAAAAGCAAAAGCTTTTGGCTGTGTGCAGTTGCCTCCCTCTACCCCTTTAACCTGTCAGATCTCCTTGGATTGCTTCTGCCTGTGGCTGACTTACCTTTTCTGCTGCAGCACTTCATCAAGGGTTTCCTGTTTGTCGTGCAGCAGGCGCTGGAGGTGCTTCATTTCCTGCTGGTACTGAGCAGTCTTCCCTGCAAATTCCTTCTCCTGTTCAGTCATCTTGAGACTGATATCTCCAAGCTTCCCAGCTGCTTTCTTTTTATATACCTGTAAGGGTTAAAGATAACAGGAAAAATGTGATTATAGGAAAAATAAGGACACCTCACTACCAACAAAAGAAATAGGCAGAGATACTAATTTACAGTTCAATCTTTACGTCAGTGCTGCCTTGCTTAAATTTGCCAGGTAGGTTGCAGTCTGTTTTTTTACCTATTTGTTAATTTGAAGGTATTACACTTGTACCTTGTTCTGCATATAAAACCAGTGTGTACAGTGAATACTGTACCAGATGCTTGTCTTATGATTGAAAAGAATTGGCTGCAAAAAATGGGTTTGTTTTCCAAGAGGCAACACTACACTTTATAGCACATGTTGCTTACCACTTGTCCAACAGTCATATTTATCAACACATACCACAAAAAAGTGTTTGTGTTCTGTTAGTTGTTTCATCTTAATACTAAGAGGAAGAAGAGAGTGGCTTCATGTTTTAGAATGTCTTGCTACTTCACGTAATAGTTCCTTCTGTTCAGTGCAGTGCATGTGATCTTTTGCTTATTGGCAATAACAACCAAATATATTGGTCTAATCTCAAAACCAATAAATCCTTTTTGTACAAAGTGATTTTGCTTTCTGAAATAACTTCCTCGTTAAATTACCTAAGCACATGAGGAATTGAAAAGTATGGCTTGTGTATTCTTACACGTTTGCACATGCTGCTGCTCTCGACAAAACCAACAGGTATTATCCAATATTAGCTTTTTTACTCGTGATGACAAACAATGCTTAAACTGTTTCTGCAGAATGTGATGTTTGATATAGGCTATAGGACAGAGTTTTGTAATGGAAGCCCCTCTTTAAATCAAACTGACAACTAGTTAGAGAAGCTTTGAAAATACTGCTATTTATGTCTTGCCAATATAAAGTTTTATCTAAGGTGTTAACCACTAAGGTTTTATCGTCATCTGAATCAGAGCAGAAAGTTTCAGTAGGCAAAAATTTTGAAGGAAGGAAAAAAAAAAGGAATGTATTTTTAGGTATGTGCTACAAGCTACATAATCCTTTCCACAAACTGTTTCCTTTTTAGCTCTCGTAAAATGTGTCATGTTGGAGTTTCATTTTCTGGAGGTAATACGATAGTGATAAATAAAAATATAGAATGTTAGTCATTCAATATTTAAGGCTGACTTCCATAGGTGGTCTTTCCTAGCTTTTCCTTGTCAGCTCTAGAAAAAGAATTAGAAGCCTGCAACTTAACCAGTCACATCACTCAACTTTTTAGATTCCCAGAGAAGTCTTCAAAATGCAGAGTTAGATGCTTGTGCTTGTAATGCCATGGGAGGATAAAGGTAAACATGTTCCTTCTGAGCAGACGGTTGCTTAGATCTAGCCTAGAAGAACTGCAGAGCACAGGAAAACAGCTGAACTGTCACCTCTGACAGTAAATGCCTCCTCCAGCTCTGGACTCGGAACCTCAAATGCCCTCTATAATTATGTCAGAGAACTAGAGAGAACTTCCTCTCTCTTAACACGTAAAAGGCTGATAAAGCAGCCTGTAGTACTGGTGAGATCCATTTTTTATCTAGTGGTCACTGATCATCCAGGTAGTGGGAGGTCTGTGCTTTAAGCTGCACTCTGCCTGAGATAGGAGCCATGGACTTGAACTATATATCCCATAGTTGCTTCTGTCAGCTGGGCACGCCTGCTCTTCGTTTGCTGACCGAAGCTCGTCACAGGTGCAGAATGGTTGCAAAACCAATGGGGAGCAGAGGGTAAGAGTGCACCATTTTCTGACCTAATGATGAGGGAATGGAACCAGATACGAGGGATACATAGTTCTGATCTTGCTTCTACAATTGATTAAAACTGAGCCTGTTTAAAATGCTGAAGTTACCTCAGCAGAACTTCAGCA